AGGGTATACCCGTAGCAATTGTTAACCACCCCCAAACCGCTCAAGTGCCCTCGACTCACGTGCTCAGCACTCGTAATTATTTTCCCTATTGTTCGAATTAAATGCTCAAGGATTTAGGGCTCTGTTCAAGATTTGTGCCACCCACACACACACAAAATGTTATTAATTGTGGTTGGAGAAATGGTGTCGGGGTGGCCAAAGAAATATCACATTTCTTTCCCCTTTCACCACTTTCCTTTCTCTTTTTTGCATTGACACTTGGCATAATTATTGCTTTCGGAAATTGCTTGGCTAGAGGGGAAATTGATTTTATAACAAAATATACCACTTATCACTTTCTGCCGACTGCCTCAATACACACTAAATAAAATGCTGTCAGAATATTCATGATTTTATTGGTTTTTGAAGAGGAAAACTGCTAAATAAAACCCACCTCTTAATTAAATCGACTTCTAAATGGTCGTCTTTAATTTAAAACCTCAAATCAAAGTTCAGCAATAGCTTTGTAGATTTTAGCTGAGCCTTTGGCCCTGGTGGTCATAATTTTTGGTAAGACGATGTGGCCCTGGTCGTCCTTTGTGGTAAATTTAAATTTATTTGTTGCTCCTGAAATTGATAACATAACTTTCTTCAGGTTTCCACATCGTTAGCTCGCTATGCAGCGGAAAGTTTTATATTTCAACAATTTTACAATTTTGCCACACAACCACCGGCATACTTGGCCACTTCTTGAGGCATCTCAGCCTTTCCCGCCACTTCGTTTCTATCTCTCGCGAAAATTGTTCCGAAAATTGTCATTGGTTCTAGTGGTGGTGCTGCTGCTGGTGCTTTTGCCTCTGGTTTTGTGGTTGCTCCAGCGTCAAGTCATAAATTACAGAGCGAGTCATTGGAAAAGCAGAAAAGCGGGTGGAAAACGCCTGGGGTGGGGGGAGTTTTCAGCTACTTTCTTGGCTACTTGTGGAAATTGTTGAATTTATGCATGCATTACTTGATTTGTTGTTCTTAGATGCTGGCGACGTAATTTATTTGTTTGCCCCCAAACTCTGCTCCATGGACGCCCCGCCCCAGAAAGTATGCAGCACTTAAGCCAAAGTCATATAAATGTTTATTAAAGCTAACAAATGTGTGCCGGACCCTCCAATAAACCCACCCGATTCACATGGGCAAAAGTTTAGTGAAAGCACTTGTACACTCAATTTGAAAATATGACAGTGTTGTCTCCTTAGATATTCAATGCTTTTAACCCCAAGTGGAAGTCCAACAAAGGGAGAAGCTGAACAATGGGGACTTTCGTCTGATTCGCAGTGACTTCTGTCCAAAAGGAGCACAGCGCAAAAGGTACAAGGCCAGCACTTTTCCCCCCTATCAACTGGCAAATAAAGGAGATTCTTGGATGGGGGACATCTCGTAAAAACCACACGGCGACATCTGACTCCGGTTTCCATATGTGCGTGAATATAAACACGTCACTAAACTATGCTGCTCCACCCCTCAAATCTTCAAGACACCCCCAAAAACCACCAACTTGTCCGTTTCAATTGAACGAAAGCGAAAAGTAGAAAAATATGGGTGGAAAAAACTGGATATCCGATGTCTTTTTATACTCTTAAAATCTTATAAATAGTAATGGATACAAAAAAAATAGTTTCTTTGACTAATAATTTGGTATACATTTTATAAGTCTCACAAATATATTTTTTTTCTTTCTTAAATAATAGTTATTACTTTGTTATATATAAAACAAATGTAAAAATCTTAGATATTAATTTTTTGTAAATGAAATCTTTTATGAAATTTTATATCTTAAGATTGGCTTATATACGACACCACTTTTGTATTATAGATATTTATTATTATACTATTATTTTAAAAATGAAAAATAAACAAAAAATTCATTTTCTTGTTATAAATAAAACCTTTGCAGATTGAAATTAGGCACACCCTTTTGAAAAGGACGCAGAAGAAATATAAATGAAAAGATAAAAAATCGAGGGACCTACTTTCATTATAGAAATGTAATGCAAAATGTTTTATGTTATTTAGAATATTTAAAAAAAAATTTAAAATACATTTTTGTTTAAATAAAATTTGTATGCATTAAAATGAGTGATACCCTTTCGGAGAGGGTGCAGAATAATTATAAATGAAAAGCCAAAAATCGAGGCATCTACTTTCATTTGACTGCCACAACTAATTCGCACACCATTGCATAAGTGAACATGTGCTCTCTCGTCGGTATACGATCCTGGCTGTGCCACTGTGTGTGTGCATAAACATGGGGTAAACAGGATAATAGCAATAAAATATAAGCGCCAGTCGCGAGCTGGCTTTTGGTGGCTCTGCCCCAGCATAAGTTTGAATGGTTTTGGCCTCAGCTATTTTTATGGCTCGCTGGCGGGTTCGCCCCACCCCAATTGCTGTTTGTTTATTTGCCTCTTCGCTTTTGTTGTATGGGGCAGGCAACTTGCTTTCTTTTGCCATCATTTGATGTTGCGACTCCTTTCCGACAAGCCACTGTGACGTAATATGGGAAATATGTTTACAGTTCGCTATGCTGGCTTCCTATTTTCCTTCTTTTTTTTTGGTGGTGGAAAGTGGGTAGTTGGCCAGCCTTGGTTATGGAAATTTATTAAAATCTATGCCTGGCGGAAGTTTTTTGTTATTCGCTTCTCTCTGTTGACATTTGCTTTATGGGTCAATGATTTAAGCTTCATTTCGCGATTGGCAAATTTGTCATTGTATGGGGAAGTATATAGATACAACAAACATAATAAAGTTCCTATTTTTTATGTGGTTCATAAATATTTAATTTGGAAAAATTATTGGAGTATAAAGAGTTTAGTTATCAAAATATTAATATTTTAGTAATGAAAGTTTTTGTGTAGGCTAGAAATTTATTAAAAATAATATAAACTAGGTATGATTATTAAAAAGTGGAAGAAAATGGTTATCAAAATATTAATGTTTTAGTAAAGAAAGTTTTTGTGTAGGCTAGAAATTAGTTAAACATAATATTAAGTAGATAGGTTTATTAAAAAGTAACTTGCCCCAATGATTTTTTTTCATAAAATAAAAATTTATTGCCAATCGATTAATAATTATTTTTTAGAGGCATATAAATTTTGTAATTTAATTAAACTTCTCAAAGCCCACCAAAAAATTTCAGAACAAAGAGTGCGATTTAATTGTTCAAAAATAAATAGTCTTAATTGTGTACGGCCATGGCTTGTTAGCACAAACAATAACATGCTGGCTCATTTAGCACAAACTATAATTAATTGCCAATTAATTTAACTGTCCTTGCTGTTGTTGGCTGCCAGCCGGCGCAGGACCATGTCCTTGCTGAAAGCTTATGCTATAATTTACGTTATTAAACCTATACGAGAATTTATAATCAATAATGAATATTTAATCAAAGTACGAATGTCAAAAAAACTCAAATAAACAGGGAGGTATAGGTTTCATAATGAGATTGAAAGCCGGTGTTCCGAATATGTGTTTTTAACTGAAGGTAATTAAATTAAATAAATTTTTTAAAGGTGCAAAAAGAAAGTTGAAAATATTTGGATATTGTGCAAATTATATACAAAAAATAATAATGAGGGTTCAGCGAGTGATAAAAAGCAGACGCAAATTTTAAATATGGTTAATGTAATAAAAAATCAATAATATAGTTGCAAGCAAAAATTTAAAAGGTATATACCATCCCACATATTTGATAAGGCACCTTTGTTTAATTAAATCAACAAAAATATATTTTTTCCGCGTACTTATAATATGACGGCGTATTTTCCTCAATAAAAAATTTGAGAGGGCAATGGGGGTCATGCAAATATTAACAAAAGGCGCATGAATTATGCTCCGCAGTCAGAACCATAAAAAATAACTCACAGAGGGAAACTCCATCTCCAGCTGCAATATTTACTTTGGCTACATTTGCAAATGGAGCATTACGAAAATAAACAAATTTTCATAAATGACAAGTACAAAGGGAGCGGAGCACAAAAGGATGTCCCATGCACACACACACACACGTGTGTCCTGCGAGTGTACGAGTGTGTGTGTGTGCGTGTCTGTGGGGTTTTTCCGCAAAAGTTTCAATTTGAACGACGTGGCAGGGCAATTGAGAGAATGGAAAAGCCATTGGGGCGGGGAAAGCGAAGGAAAGGGGACTGCAATTGGGCCATGTAAATTGTCACAGCAGCCAGGAGCTGGAGCTGGAGCAATGGGAAAATCCTTGATAGTCGATATTATTTTTCTTACGGCGCTCCATTTGTTCCTTGCCCGCCATTTGTCAACTTTGGCTCGAATCGATTTCCATTTTATTGCCAAATAATGTTTTTGCCATAGATTGTGTCATGTTATTTATAGGGCCGCACAAAAGGTATGAATCGCACGTCACACGAATGGTTTATTGGCCAGACATTTTTTATGCAATTCTATAATCAGGCCCGCGATAAATCCACCCCCTTAGCCTTCCCTTTGAGCGTTAATCCTTTCACTGTGACTTATCACACGACTTTGACTAATAGCCCTTGTAGCTTGAGACCTTTTCCTTTCGGCCATTCGCCTCGAAAACACCTGGGTCAAACTAATTAAGCCTCTCGGAAGGCACCGGACCCTCATCCCCTTCCCCTTCATTTCTGTGCCAAACAATGGGCTTAGAAACATAAATCAATCAGGCGAAACAGCAAGAACAAGCAGGGCCAAACTTGACGAGTTCCAAGGGCGACCCTCAAAACAATCCAATGGACAATGATTAATCGCATTACGGGCAGCGAGATGCGATGCGCGATGCCAAATGCGCTATTAAATACCCTTTGTGGAATTTGATCATTAGGAATTCCCGGAAATTAAAGAGGACCTCACCGACCAGGCTGGAACTTTGAAATTAATATCCATTAACCATAAAAATGTGTGAATAGAATTTTATTTTATTTAAACCACTTAACCAAGCAAGCTTTGGACTATGCTGTCAATGTTTTTAGTCCAACATTTGACTCTAGTACATTTTTACTTTCAGTTCATAACTGACTGTCACACGCGTAGCAACTCCAGCAGGAATAAAAACAATCTTTGACCTAAGGTATTTGAATTCCAAAACCCCTTCTGTAAATTAAACTTATTATTAACCCAAGCTATTTTAATTTTGTGAATCACAGTCATGGACCAGTACTGGTGTAATTTTTTTAGCAGCAAGGAGAATTCCAAAAAGAAGGAGATGGAAAATCGAGCCAAGCTGGATGTAATGAGATATATACGGGAATGTTCTGGAAAAAAATATGATAAGCCAGTAACTCTGGCAGATTGGGACGACAAAAGTAATTTGGAGCAGGAAATAGTGGACCAGATGCGGCACTTAGGCTTAAAGTCGTGGAGCGAATGTTCGGGACCGGAGGAACCCCTAAACTTGCCAGGGTTGCCACCTTCTAAAAGTCCAATGGAGCTGGGCACTGGAAACAATAGCTTTCCGCTAGTTGTGGATCCGGAATACTTTAATCGGTTACACATCTCTCCTGTTAAAAATAAGAAAGACGTCTAACTGGGATATAAAACATTTAAAATATGTAATGTATTACACATTATTTTATTGTTAAGCACACTTGCCGATTAAATGCAACCTTATAAGCTCCGAAAAGAATTTAGATTATTAATGAATCTAACAAATTACACTTTTTTCTAGAGCATTGGTTATTCTGTTATCTAATTTTTTAACTCTTCCCTTCAACCAGCTGACCCTTGCGGATGTCATTCTGCTTTTTTGGCGCAGTCACGCTAATTAGCCCCAGACAAGGACAAGCCATCAGGCGACCACGCCCACGCCATTTCAACCCATTCGAAAGTCCTGCCAGACAAAAGGAGACCAAACCAAAGCTCGTCCTGCCCCGCCACGCCCACTGTACACAGTTAAAAAATAAATTTTACGAATTGTAAATAGCTTTAGTGCGCATAATTTTGTGGATTATGCTCACGCCCCATGAGGCGGCTGGTCCTTGAAGAGTCCGCAACGCCCAGGACTTGTTTACTCCTTTGGAGCCATGATAAATGCCTTGACATAAATCTCAGATGGTGGAAACTCGAAGGAGGTGAAGAGTGGAGGGGCGGAACTCAAGTTGGCTGGCTGGCAAAAGTTAATCAACATTTCATTAATTAATTTCTTTAAAGATGTCGCTGGGTGGCGACTTGATGCTGGCCAAGAGAAAAATGGCCCGGCCAGACGACTTGAACTGAGCTGGGGTAAAGTATGTAAATTGGCTAAAAGCTTTTCCGGTTTTGAATTAGCAGCCTCATCAGCGACTGGATATTCTTGCTTCACTCATTATGCGGCACCATTCAAAAAAGCGTTGAGTTATTTTCCTCATTTAACTTTGGTCCGGAGCTAATTAAATTGCAAGTTGTGAATTCAATGCAAAACGAAAAACCAATGGTGAGAAAAGAAGTTGCCAGTTGTTTTTTGGTCAGGCATCGTTTGATTAGAATTTCAAAGCATAATGTTATCACCGCACGGGAGAGTCAGAAAAATTCAAGATTAGAAAAGAACGAGCCGATGATCGTCAAGCCGACAGACACTATAAAAATACAACTACAGAGGTATATTAAGGTTACAATACTGCAACTTGTTATCAGTTTTTATAATTTTGTTTTGAGTTTTTTGGTTTTCCCTGCAAACAATAATAATTTATATTCGAAAAATTGAAGGAGATAACAGTGGGAGAGAAAACGATGAATCAGAAAAATTGGACGTCAAGTCGGTGGGTGAAACTAAAAAATTAGAAGCGATAGCGGCTGCTGGTTCTGAGTCAAGTGTCAAGCCGGATTGAAAACCACACCGGATACCAAATTGAAAACAATACATACTTAGACTGGGAAGGTGCCATATAATTATGTCAATCACTTAACTAACCTCGTTAATCCCCAAAATAAACTCGAATGTACCATGTTCATAGTCCATTTGGACCCGACCAGTAACTATTGGGTGGATATCCATCGAATCGATGGGTAGTTTGTATCCAAAACTACTGGAAAGAATGTTCCCTTCCTTAAGTGAAAGAGATGTAAGCTGATGTAAGATTTAAGATGTAATTAGTCATTTAAGGTCTGCGTGCAACTGGTACCAATATATCAATATATGAATAATGAAATTATTCCTCAAATTTTAACTACAAGCTGGAAAGTAAAATATCGAAATGTGATGAATCGGAAAGATAATTATTTTTACGGGGCTACATATCGACACTTGCAAGGCGTTTATCTGACTTGGCAACTAAACTTAAAATTTTTTTACACTGCCCTAAACTAAAAATTTTGTTAACTGTTTCAATATGGTCATTAAATAATATGTTTCATACATTTTGTTTAAATATTTTACTTTTCTCAATAATTACAAATAAAATGTAAAATATGTATTAATAAAACCCAATTGCGTTATTTCTTAAAATTATAGTACAATTTTCAAATGGGATTGGGCAAATGACTAATTACTCTAAGAATGCAAATCCCGAGAGATCAGCAAAAAGTCAATTATGATAAGGTTTTGCATTTGTATTGGTATGAATATGAGAATTAGCTCTTATTTAGGCTGTCAAAGTACTTGGAACATTTCAGCACCGCGACATCGAAATCAGTCTTAATTTCATTTGTGTTGTGATCACACCGAAAGCGGAATGAAATACTTTATAGTACTTTTATTTTTCGGAATAGCCTGGCAATATAGTTTGGCAGCAGTACTGGTGAGTTTTTTTCTAAATTTATATTTGTGATAATAATTTAAGCCTCTGTAATTTATAGCCGATTAAGCCTGATTCCCCGTCATTATCAGCTTTCGAAAAAGATGAGAATGTTCAATTGGATAATCATTTGGGGCCAAACCTATCAGAGGAAACTATAACTAATCCACATCTAAGCAATTTGGCTTCATTGAGGACAAATGAAGAGGCTTCCGTCAAAATGAATACTGAGATGTTTGACAATGAAGACGTGAGTTGGGAGCGACTGGGGGAATTTCCTTATTTTCGTAATATATTTTTGTGGTAATAATTTATACCTCTGTAATTTATAGCAGCTTAAGACCGAGTCTCCGCCACTATCAGATTTTGGGAAAGTAGACCCAATTCATGGACCTACTCTACCAGAGGAAACTAAAAATAGAATCAAGGAGATAATTGCGCGTTTAAACGAGAAAGGACAGCCACAAATATGGGATGATTATTATAGACCTACTCTATCAGAGGAAACTAAAACTAGGATCAATGAGATGTTTGCACGTTTAAACAAAAAGAATATGGAGGTAAAGGAAGTTCAAGTATCGATTCCCCAATATACTAAAAAAATTGAACTATCTCCACGATTTTGGGTCTTTTTGGTCAAAATCATCATTTTAATATTATTATTGTTTTGTTGGATTGGCAAGGAACATAAATCGACTAATCATTCTTCGATTACTGCTTAAATTCTACTCTGCCGCTTTTTTTTGATTATCTTCAGATTACAGATTTTAACAATTTTTGAAATATGGTAAAATATGCACTTTAAAAAAATCCAGTTCTATTTACTTATTTTGTATTAAATTTGTATTTCGTTATATAATATTGCTTTAAGATTGTATGTATACTGGTTTCCTGCCTTAATAAATATATAAGACTTTCGACCTGACCGTTTTCTCTGCGGCATCAGTGCAGTGGAAGATTTCATTAAATTTCATTAGAGAATGTGATTAGAGAGAACACGACGCAAAGGCCTAGAGGCAAGTGCAGACAGGACATTCAAAGTGCATTTAATTAAGCAGCACGGGTCGGTTTTCAGGGGTGGGGCTGGCAGGGGGTTCTTTTGGGGGAGGACAAGAAATGAATCAAAACAATTGTAAATACTGCAACACAAAAGCAATTAGTGACACACAAAGCGGAAGTGCAAAAAGTGAAGCTGTTGAAAATAACTCTGCAAAAACACAAAGAGCAACCGAAAAAAAAGGACAACAAGATGATGAGTGGGGAAAATGGGGGGAAAAGGGGGTTTTGGCCACTGCAGAAGGCGCCAAAATAAACAAAGCGCATTGCTAGTTAGGCCAGACTTGATGAAAGGCCGGGGGAAAATTGGGCGCAGGCCGAAACTGAACTGGATGCGCAACTGAAAAGTGGCCAATGTAAATCTAATTAAAAGCAAAACAAAAGCCACTCTCAACATGCCACTCAAATTATAATGCATATAGCGTGGGCCTCCAGCGGAGATAGTCGCAGCTGGGAGAAATGGAGAAAGAGAGACGTGCACGGAGAAATGGAGACGGAGAAAAGTGCCAGGGTGTGAGAGATGTCAAGTGGAAAGCCTCGGGGCCTCTGCCTCTTCGTTAACCGAACTGTATCGTGGGTTTATTTCGGTTCCGAATTTAAAGTTGGGTAAAGTAAGATTTATAATTAAATAATATTATTGCATCTCATAATGGTCATATTTTAATTAGTCTAACCAGAAGTTTTTATTTTATTTTCTTTGATTATTCCTTGGGTATCATCATTGGGTATCCAATATTATTATATCAATACAACTCAACTTAAAATATTATATTTAAACACTAAATTAAAATAAATTTTTAGCTATAGGTATAACAAAATATTAGGGACTGTTCATGTACTACGTAATCACATAGGGTGATTTTGTGCTCAATAAATTGATTACCTGGGGGAAGGTGGATTCCAAAAACAGAAAAACTATGATTACGTATTAAATGGCCAGACCCTTATAGGGCTTAGAACTGTTATAATATTATATATGATTCTTATATTATATACTATACTATAATATTTTTATTAGAAAATTTAAAATATGTATTGTATTACCTGTTTATTTTTTTTTATTATAAGGATCTTGGTTCTTAAAATATTTTTTCAGAACTCATAACCATGTTTGCCTACTTTCCAGGAATTTCATTATTCGGAAATACTTTCTGTTAAATAAAAATACATTTATATCTGAACTATTTTTATCCTTTAGTTGGAATTTTTCTGGGTTAAGCCCCGAACCACTGTGCAATCTGCAACCGTGCACTCGCCCGTCGAGTTCACACAATGAACCAGCGACAAATGCCAACACGGAAATGCATAGAATTTCCCGGAGTCGTGTGGGGCGGGTGTAATTTGGAGGGTTGGCTGGGTGGAGGAGCAAATGGGGCCCCAGCCGAGGCCTAGAGATGTGTCCGGTGATGTCGGGACACGGGGTGTTTTCGGGGCTCAGAACTTGGCACATGAAGCCAACGTTGTCGCATCGTTTGCCAAAATCCGCATTAAATTTATGCACTTTTGTTGTTACGGGCAAACGTAGCCGGAATGTCCGTATAAGGATACGGGTATGGGTATGGGTACGTGTATGGGTATGGGAGATTTTCCCATAGTTCCGCAGCAAGTCCGTGCCAAGATGGGAAACGATGGTTTGGGCTGAGGGCGGGGTACAGATGATGATTGCATTGACGATGATGCTGGCAGCAATGCTGGCCGCTCATCCGGCTCAGGTTTCTGGCACGGATCCGGCTTTTCTGGGGCCGGATCCGCAGCCAAGAACCGAATCAGAATCGCCGAAGAAAAACAATCCCACACTCAAGCCAAACACATCCGCCGCTGCCCATTTTGGCTGTGATTTTGCAATTAAATAGATTTCAACTTCTGCGACTCCACCCTGAATTGCTTCCTTCCTTCGCCGGCGACTTTCGAGTTCAATGACAAAACACAATCTGCAATGGGCCACAGACGGCTATATTTTTATATAAGGGCCGATGTATTTCGTTTTCAGTTCATTTGGCTCGCACTGAAGAGGTTGTCATTACGTTGGCAATTTATTTGTAAACAAAATACTATAAATATTCATATGGCCATAGATGCCTCTAATAGTTTTGCACTCCTTTTCTTTTGACAATTTTTATAAATTTATTTACCCCATAATGCGACTTTTGAGATTTGGCAATAGGAAAAAGAAACATCAAAAAACAGTTTTGCTACTAAATGGCATTTGATTTCCGGCTAAGATAATTCTTATATTATAAATAGATGTGATGGGTTTTAATTAGTTTTTTAGGTAGTTATGTAAAGAGAATAAGATAGCTTACGAGGTTTATTGCTTCCTTTCAGTGATGAAACAATAGGGTTTCTCTTTACTTCTCATGGGTTAGGTTAAATATTGAATTAGACCCAAAGTCATTTCATCTGGTCCAAACGCAGTACAATACAGACTCGAATAAATATAGGGGTCTTGTGGGTGTCAAAAGGGGGCAATTCAATTGCTTGTGCGTGCCATGATTGGTTTGTTCCCGATCAGAAGCAATACAATTGACAGCGGGATATGTTGGTAATTTAAGATTCATTTGGAACACAGAAGACAAAAGAGAAGGACAAGTCTCCCAGCCAAAGAGATTTAATATTTCATTTCTATGATACACTTAGAAAATGGGAAATGAAATAGAAAAGCGAAAAATGTATTGATGGTTTAAAGAAAAAACCAAAAAACCTTCTGTGATTCTAAGCACCCCAGATTTAAACAAGAAAGAACGATATAGTCGACGGCTTTGTCTACTCAGCTTAAGGTAGTGCGAGGGAGATGGAGAGATGCATGCAGAAAATCTGCTGTACCGTAATGGTACACTTTATTCACTTATAACTTTTTAATGAATAGTTCGATTTAAACCATTATTGGCATGTAGATGGGTATTAATAATCAGAACACAATACCATTTAAACTTATTCATTCTTTTTACAGGTTTTAGCGTTATGGGCGTGGCACCCTGCTGAAATGAACTTGCGCTGCGCAAGAACCTCAAGAATCTGCATGCCAAGTCCCAACTATCTAGCTAATAAAGTTTTCGAGACCTCTTCCTTTTCCTCTATGAGCAACGTGAATAAAAATACAAAATATACAATTTCGTCGTCATCAATTATTCCTGATGTACCTATTTATATTTTCCCCAACGACTTGTGTTCTTTAGTATTATATAAAATTACCATGAGTTCTATAAATAATTATTTAACGTGTGAAAGGAGTCCTTTTTTCTCCAACCTTCAGAATTCCCAGGGCTGTCTGCTTATGTCGCCATAGATTCGCAGTTTGTCAGTGTCGCCATGAGATGCGAAGTGCGAGGGGATCTTTTTATTATGCTGGCAGGCGTGCGAGTATTGAAACATTTGAGTGAATTTATTAGCGACACATATATGACATTTGACACATTGTGCAACTTCCTGTCTGTGGGGGTGTGTGTGTTGTGTGTGTGTGTTTGGCGGTGTCTATGCCAGTGTTTGTGCCTGCGTGTAGGTGTTTGTTAGTCGCATTAGATGACGCACAGCACGTGTTAGCCGCTGTTGTTTGCCATTTCCCACCCATTTTCCATTTCCCGCCAACGCCGCGACTGCTGTCAACATGGCTCACATAAATCGCAAATTATACACGCAGCCACGCCCACAATAGGGGATTGGTGGGCGTAAAGGAAAACGGGACTTACGGGGGCTTGGCTTTTGTGCGTTTTCTTTGTTTCGATGGCATTCGGTGCAGTCGTGCATTGGAAAATGGAAAATGCATTCGGAAATTCGAACGCTCAACTTCACACATTGTCTGCGTTTTATTGCATTAGTCAAGCACTCCGAAACTGTCCATATGTGAGCTTCTGGGCCATTGTTACTCTATCATTGTTTTGCCCTCAAAGAAACAATTAAATGGGCAAACATATATGGCATGCGAAATTTTATTGCTAGAAGATAGGTATGTGAGTGGATGTACTGCCAAATAGCTTTTAAATGAAGTTAAGCAAATATATGCAAGCTGTTGATAGTTATTTTGTATGTTAGCTCTTATAATAACAATCAAATGGCATTTTTGTTTTGTTTATTTTCATTAAATTTTTAAAATCGTTGCTTGACTATCATCATAATTTATTCAATTTTAAACTTTTTGTATGATTTCTCCTTGTAAGGAAAAAACCTTTTTAAACCCAAATCCCAGAAGCTTTAGACTGGTTTTTCTATGCTCATATGCCGTATCAATTTCTCTTATCCCTTTGGCTTTGTGGAAAAAATAACCTAAACTATGCCCGTCGAGCATAAAGCATGCCAGAGTGATATTCCACGTCAGACAGTGCGTATGCGCAATATGGAATTGGCTTTATTGAAATTCGCATGGAAAAACAATTTGCCCAAGCGCCAGAACTTGGCTTACACAGCTCAGAGCCATAAAAAAAAAATAAAGACAAAGCTGAGATGGGGAGTTGGGCGCAGTAGTGAGTACTTGAAATGCGTTGCAGCAGCGATTTGCTATCAATTTTAATATCACATAAAACTAAGGGCAATCCCGAAAGGCAACGCGAGCGTAAAACAACAAGATGTGCACAGGCGGAAAGGCTGAGGGGGAATAGATGGGGGGGGGGCTGTATTCAACTATTGAAATTTTATCAAGTGCACATAAAACTCAAAAAGCCATGATGATGTAGCCGGGGTCGCGTTGGCGGGTTAACAAGGGGCGAAATTCAGAGCGAATTTCAGGGGCGGGCGTTGCGCAACTATTGTAAAACATTGACAATTTCCGTCACATCTCTGGGGGTAGTGCAAAATGGCAAATCAATAAAAACAAATTGAACTCGAATTCAATAAAAAGCCAGACA